TAATATGACTACTGTACAAAGTCTACATCTCATGGCCACTTTTACAAAGTGGTATTTACTCAGCCTGCAAATATTTACTTTAACACAGATCTTACTTACGTGGATCTTCCACTAACACTTTTGTCCAAGCTTTAAATACATTCATAAAATTAAGTATAGATTTTTTTGGGGGGGGAGGGAGATGAATCCCATTTATAAAGATTAATTTTCTTGGCAACTGGCCCAATACTATTTTCTTCCTAAATAGCAGAAGCCTCCTCCTGGTCTAGCCCAGGTCAGAGTATCACAGATTTTTATTTGATTAAGTAAGAATGAAACTCACTGCTGATACACTGTTTGTTGTCAGAATAGAAATGGTTCAGGATGTTTTAGTTAAATTGTTATTAAAAATAATGGGGTAACAAATATTTTCATTAAAAATGTACAAGTTATTTTTGTTACTACAATTAGTAATTTATTCTCCCATTACCTAATATATACAAGCCCTTTGGAGGAAGCAGCCACTTGTGGAAGGTATGCTAGAATCTTTTCAGCTGACAGTGTATTATTTACTACAATTAGAGAGTTATTAACTGTGCCCCACTGGCCACTGGCCTAATAAGATAAGAGACTGACCCTGAGCCAAAAAGAATTAAGGCAGAAAGTTTATGCTTTAGATCAAGAGACCAAGTGACCTAGGAATTAGAATTCTAAAACTGTAGAATTGTAGGGTTTTAGAAATCATAACTCACATTTTACTGATAAAGAACTTAGAGAACAGCGAATGATGGGCTAAAGTTCTCAGAAGAATCTGGCGCAATATAGTCAATAGTATAAAAAATGTATAAATACCTTGTTATTTAAAAAATTTTTTAAATATATATGATTTTTACTGTATTTGCTGTTTGAACATTAGAGAGTATCAATAAACAACAAAAAAATACTTTAACAAAATCCTATGGTATAGATTCTTCATATCACATAATTAATTGGAGTGAGGGGAAAAAAATTAACAATTAAGGATGAAAGATTATATGAATCCTTACATGTGATAACATGGCATAAAATTAGGAACACACATATACACAAATGAGTGCATGTAAAATGTGAAACCTGAATAAAGTCAGTGGATTATACCAATGCCAATTACCTTGTATTCTAGGTATGTAAAATACAGTCATTAGGGGGACCCTGGGGGAAGGGTAAATGAGACCTCTGTACTATTTTTGCAACTTCCTATGAATCTATAATTATTCCAAAATAAAGAGTCTTAAAAATATGAACACCAACTGTACAAATGCTTTTTTGTAATTAATTATTTAGAAATGATACATGACTGGCATTTAATATAAAAATAATTATGATCCTGGTTTAGTTCTCACCTGTTTGTCCATTTCTTAACCGACTGAGCCACCCAGGCACCCCAAGTTTGTGCATTTCTTAACTGGGTATATTGTGTCTCCTTAACTGGGAATATTCTTAGAAATTGTGTCTTCTTGCCACTCTCCATTAGAAAACTCATTAATATTTATAATTTCGGGGACCAGTTGTATGTTGGAGGCCCCAAATCTTTCTACCAGCCCAGATGTCCCATTTAAACTCCAACTCTACTAAACTGTTCTCACTAGAGCCTCACCTGGTGTCCGACACCAACTTGGCACTCAAGACATACTAGATGAATGAATAAATAAATAATATTCCAAATATCTATAGGATGTTTGCCTTTGGAAGTTACATCATCGCCTAAATTTGAAATGTAGCAAAACAAAACTAATATTTTCTTCCCACACTCTTACCCACCCAACCTGCTCATTCTGCTAATGTCTATATCTCTCTCTTTTCTATTATTCTCCCATCCAACCAAGATTTAACAATTTAAATTGGCTTTGACTCTTCCTTCTCCTTTATTTACCTTATTATATCTAACAGTTACCCCTTCTGTTCATTTGCTTCTCAAATATTCCTTACATTTGTCCCTTGACCTCTATTTCATCCCTAGAACTACCATTTAGCCTCATTTTATTACTCAATGATTCTAAGTTTTTTGCCTCCTCCTAGTCCTGATTTACCTTCAATCTATCTTCCATGCTAAGGCCTGGTAAATTCTTCTAAACTACTATTTTTGTCAGGTCATTATACTAACTAAGATAATGGTAATTCTAATCATTGCTACCATTTGTTGAATGCTTACTATTAACTCTTTACAACAATGCTGTGAAGTAGGCATTATGTATTTCCATTTTATAGATGAGGAAACTTAGAGTCCAGGAGATTAACAATATGTCTGTCACATTTTTTAAGCAGCAGAGTGGGGACATGAACAGGTTAGCCTGGCTCCAATCTCTCTGCAAACACCATTCTCCTAAATATGTATACATCTTGCCCATTCATCAAAACATGCCCAGCTGAACCTTGGCCTAGCAAAAATAAATGCTCGGTGAGTAGTTATTGAAACCACTTTATTAAAGGAGTAGAACTCCATAGGGTGCAAGCTGAAAGTAAGGATCTCTTTTTCTCCCACTGTCCTTCAAACTTTTACTATGACTCTGTTCCAACTCTCGGAGCTCCACCTCCACTACCTTGAAATCTCAGGGTGATTTTCCAATTTTGTGCTTGCTCTCATGTACTAAATGAAGTTTTAGTACATAGAGTCCAGTCCAGTGTCATAATCCAAACTCTAACCTCGTTCCATTTAGAACTTTCCTTTCCTGGTTGAGTTTTGCTGCGGGGGTGGGGGTGGGGTGGGTGGGGGGAGCTCTTACTTAACTATGTGGTTGTGACCAGCATTGGTACCCTCAGGAGCAACAAACAGTCATAGGTGATTATATCATATGGAACCCTGCTGGAAACCTCCTACTGCATTTCCAGCTAGATTACCATCCTGAGAAACCCCTGGGCTTCTAGCAGCCTTCCTCCCTCACACTGCCCCTTCAGGTGGGGTCTATTTTGTCAAGATGTCCGTCTGGGTCCCTCCACAGGTGCCCAGATCTAGTCCACAGTTTGCTCCCAAATAGCCTTCTTCTCTCTCCTCTTGAATGTCATATGCTCCTTTCATTCCAGCCCCACTGGATCTGCTTATTTGCCTCTCCCACCTTTCCTGTTCTCTGCCAGTTGAAATGTAATTCCCAGCTCATCTCAACACACACCTTTCCCTATGAAGCTTTTCCTGAGTTATCTCTTCTTACAATGATTTTCCCAGTCTAAAGTCCTGAGCACCATGGTCTGTCCCCACCCTCCCCCCCGGAAAAAGTCAGTTTTACCTAAGAATATCCTGGATGAAGCAATAAAAATGATTAATCATATTAAATATTGACTCTTATATTTTAGATATATATCATTTTAATGTTGTATGTGAGTTAATAGGAAGTATGCATAAAGCCCTTCTGCTGCATAATGAAATACATGACTGCCTCAAGGAAAAAGCAATAGTATAATTGTCCTGACCTGTGACCTGAATTAGTGGCTTTTTTCACTGAATATCACTTTCACTTGAAAGAACAACTGACAGAGAAACTATGGTTATACAGAGTTGAGTTGAGTTAGGTAAGATACTTTCTCAACAATGAAAGAAGTTAGGCTGTCATTTCAAGGAAAACAAGTGACAGTGTCCATTGCCAATGATAAATTTAAAACAAAAACTAATATTTGGGAAAACCTGCATCTGGCACCATGAATTTGACAACTTGTGGTGGTTAGGTAGATATGTCCCCACATTCTTTGATCCAGTTCTCCTCAAGAGATGGGGCTTAGTTTCCCACCCTTTGATTGTGGGTTGGACCATTTCTACTGAACAGAATATGGTGAAAGTGATGAGCTATCATATTGAGTTTAGGTTATAAAATGACTATGCTTCTGTCTTAGGTGAGCTCTTTTATATTCATATTCCCTCTCTCTTTCTCTCTCATCAGTCATCTGGGACAAGCTGCCAGGATGTGACGTAGCCCTGGTAGAGGAAAGCCAACTGCTACATCTTGAGAACACTCAAGCAGCCTATGGAAAGGTCCACTTGGCAAAGAACTGAGGCTTGCAAGCAACCATGCGAGTAAACTTGGAAGTGGATCTTCTGAAGCCTGCCAAATGGTACATGAGTGAGTTTGGAAGTAGACTGTCTCTCAATTGAGCCTTAAAATGACTGCAGCCCAGCCAACAGCTTGACTGCAACCTCTTAAAAGACCCTGACCCTGAACCACCCAGCTAAGCCACTCTGGATTCCTGACCCACAGAAACTGTGAGACAGTAAAAACTTGTAGTTCTAAGTTGCTAAGTTTGGGTAATTTGTTATGCAATAATAGGTAATACTATAGCTTCCCCAAACTTAAAGACTTTTCTGATAAGAGCAATGGTAATATTAACAAAGGGTTTTGTGGGGGTTGGAAGAGTGGGGGAGGACAGGGAGGCTGTTGTATGATGAAACATGTCAATGGACGATCTACATAAATCAGAGGACCAATATTATCCAAATGATCAATGCATGATGTTAAAAAATCATGCATTAGTAGAAGATCCAGTCAAAGTACAAGACAGACCAATAAATTTTAATGTAACAGAGTATATGATTCATATGTTGCAACTAACCTTTGGGAAGCTACCACTTATTGAAAGCTGGTGTGGGATCAAAGAAGACTATCCACACTTACCAGGAAAGAGTATTATATAGTATATGTGCTACCAGAGCGAGCACACCAGGAAAGAATATTAAAATATTCCTTACTTTCACAACTACATTATCTGTCTAAGGCTGGATTTTCTTCATGTATTTCAACCAAAATGATGTACTGCAACAGATTAAATTCAGAGGCAGATAGGAGAAACCAGATGTTTTCAATGAAACTAAACATTAGAGAGATTTGCAAAAATGAAAACAACATCACTCACCTCACTACAGGTTTTATTTTGAAAAATAGTTATTTTTCATAGGAAGGATTGTTATTGTCATTTTTAAATGAGTTGTATTAGTTATATATTTTGTCACCAATTATGCCAAAATTTACCAGCTTAACAGTATTTATTTATTATCTCACCTTGTCTGTGGGTCAGGAATCCACATGTAGCTTCTTTGGGTTCCTCTGGCTCAGGGTCTCTCACAAAGCTATATTCAAGGTATGAGCAGAGCTGCAGGCATCTTAAGGCTTGACTGGGGTAGGATCAGCTTCTCAGCTCACTTACATGGCTATGAACAGGACCCAGCTCCACAATGCAGTTGGCCAGACACATCAGTTCCTTGTCAGATGGGTCTCTCCACAGGAAAGTTACAACATGGCAGCTGGAGACTGAGAGAGAGAGAGAGAGGGCAATCAAGACACAAGACACAATCTTTCTGTAACCTAATCTTGAAAGTGGCATCCCATCATTTTGGCTGTGTTCTTTTTTTTTTCTTAAGTCAATAAATCCAGCCCACACTCAAGAGGAGGGGATTACACAAGGGCATGAATACCACAAGGTAGGATTCATTGGAGGCCATATTGAAGATTGCCTACCATATGAATTAATAAATATCTTATACATTTCTCAGTATTAATTTCTAATAAGTTATTATCAATAAATAAAATCACATAAACAAGAGCTATTTGGGGTCCTCAGTAATTTGTAATAGTGGAAACAAATTTTAAGACTAAAAACTTAGAGAACTGCTCTTCTAGTAAGACAAATACTGGCTCTCCACATGGTAGAGATGCAGAGCATTATTCAAGAGTTGATAATTCGTGTCTTACTTTTATTATCATTCATAACTATAAACTCTTTTCCCCAAAATGATAGTATTTATAATAGCATTATAAGATACACAAATGCATAGGGAAATATAGTACAAGTACATATATAGTAGATATAGTATCAAGACTTATAAGTACTATACATACTGTACATTTACCATGTATCTGAGAATACTTATTTAAAAATTTCAACAATACTTATTCAATATATTAAGCGCTTAGATTGTGAACACTCAATAATTGGTGATTTTATTATATTATTATTTTGTTCAGCAAATATTTGGGAAGCTCTGGGCAAAGAATAGTATTTAAGTTAGAGATATATGAAGTTTCCAGCAAGAATTAATAATTTAAGCCAATATTCAGATGTGATTGCCATGACACAGAATTTAACGATAGAATGAATAAAGTACAAGACTTCGGGGTGTGGAGAAAGGAAAGAAAGAAGGAAGGCAAGACATGGAGAATAGCCAGAAATAAAATACAAAATTATCTTATGAAAGAAAAAGAAGGCTATGTTAAGAAATATGGGCTATTAATAGCATCAGATACTATAAAGCTCAAAAAGAATGAAGACTGAAAAAGGCTTAGATTTTAAAGGAGACTTTAAAGGAAATCCCCCAGAGGGCCAGAATGCAGATCTAAGTAGGAAGTAAGAAAACTGAGACAATAAAGGGAAAAGAAAATTTTGGTTGGTAAAAAAAGAAGGTTGCAAGATCTAAGGAACAGGAGATCTAAATATGCCTCTTACTGTTTACTACTTTCAACACTGAAGAATTTTATAGACAGCCTGTATTCTTTATGAAAACCAAGAAGGGCCAATTTTGAGTTATATTTATTTGTTATATTTTTAAAACCGAATGGCTTAGTAAACTAAATTTTAGAGATTTTGCTTTGACTAAGAATTTTTCTATTTTTTTTTCTTGCCACTATGCCATAGGTACATCCTTGATTTTTTTCCCCCTGTACTAAGTGCTCCTAGTATCTGGTTTGATCCTGGAGAAATTACAGTTACAAAAATACACAATGACTATCTGTGATAGAGTCGGACAATTGCTAAGGTCAAACAAAATTTTGGAGATCTCTGTTTCAACTCCTTTACTTTACTGATTAATAAATTTGAGCCAAGGGATTGTAGTTCCTACAGGCAGCCAGATCAAGCCTGGGACTAATATCCCAGGATCTTCCGACTTCTAATCCTGGGGTACCTTATTGACATCATATTATGCTACATTACTTTTGATGATATTTTCCAAAATTATTACTGGTGTGATTTTTTTTAAAAAAGATTTTATTTATTTATTTTAAAGAGAGAGAGAGAGAGAGCATGCTCATGAGTGGGGGTGGGGGGTAGGGGCAGAGGGAGAGGGAGAAGCCGACTCCCTGCTGAGCACAATCCTGCGATCAGGACCTGAGCGGCAGGCTGAGGTTTCACCAACTGAGCCACCCAGGTGCCCCTACTTGTGTGATTTTAACAGAAAATTGATACTTTGGAAGAGAGCGTTTGAGTGTGAAGAAACCTCTGAGCAAGGGATAGTGGCTTGAAAAAATCAAAAGCTGTTACCATTTAGGATTAAATTTTTCTGCTCCCTGGTACTATTCTTCGGCTTCCTAAAACCATCATCCCTTTTCTTCAAAATGATGTATGGCAGGACCTTGTCTCTTGGGCCTTCGTTTTCATCACAAATAAATCAACGCCATTCCGCACCACTTGCTCTTCTCCATAGGCAAAACTTCAAACCGCTAGGGCCAGAGAATCCCCAGGAGTGTAGTTCTCGGGACCGACATCTGGGTGTCAGGTGCTATGGCCCTAAGCGCGTCCAAAGTTGGGGAGTGAGTTGGAGGAGATGCCAAGACTCCCCCTCTGGGCCTGCGCCACATCCGGGGCCTTCGAGAGGTTCCGAATACCACAGTACCACCCACACAATTCAGGAGCCTCCCTGTGCCTGGAGCCCCGCCTCTGTCCCAGGCTCCAGCTGGCCACGCTCGGCCACGCACATGACGTGTCGACGTCACATATTACGGCACGTGCTGCGCGGCCTGAGAGGACTAGGGCAGAGGCTTATGGTTAAACGTGTTTGGAAGGGGGAATAGTTGGACCTTGGGCTCCTGGGCTTTTATTTCTGGGCGGGAGGCGGCTGGTGGAGGCGGAGGCTGCAGCCCCGAAGGCCAGGAGGGCCTTGGGGAGATGCACTGGTAGTGGCCCAGAGCGGAGGGCAAGGAGGCAGCCTGCACGTGGCATCTGCACCTGCGCCTGCATGAAATGCACGGCAGCCCCCTCCGGCCAGCACACTTACGGGAGAGCCAGTGGAGGTGAGGACAGCCCCCAGGGCCATCAGCATCTCCCGGCAGCTGCCCCAGGCTAGCTTCTGCTGAGAGCAGCTCTGTTTAGGAAAAGGGATCTTTCATCTTTATGTTTTAAACTCAGTAAGGATGAAATTTGAGTCAAGAGATTTTGAGTTTGGGCGAGATTACACCATTACCTTGAAAGTAAACTTTATGTAGAATATAAAGGTACTTAGTTTTTAAAAACCTACTGATTTTGCCCCCAAACACTAAGCAATAATGTCGAAGTGGTATACACCCCTGATATCTCCGGTCCTTCTCATTTTCTCATGGGAGTTCTTCCTTGACATTTATAGTAACACAATCTTCTCTGTATACTGTTGTATTTCCATTCCTAGTATAGCACTTATTAGTACATGGGATGACCTCATTTATTTGCTTGTTTGTTTATAGTATCTTCTTAATGCAAGGTCAAGGAGAGCTGTGATCCGGTCTGTTTTATTTATCATCTCCAGCTTCTAACACAGTGCCTGATGTTTGTTGATTAGAGGAAATCTTTTATGACTCTTTGGCCACCGAAAGCTGGTGCCCTTCCTGTTGCTTGCAAGGAACAACATCCTATGTATGTCTGTCTTATTTATATTTTATTGTAATTGTCCCTGAATATGTCTGTGTTATACTGTGTGCTTCTTTATCTAGAACAAGGACTTTTATTGTTCATTTTTGTATCTCATGTGCCTGGCATGCAATGAACACTCAGATTTTGATTGCAAAAGTGAAAGCTATCCATAATAGAATTTCTGATAATCTGTATCTTTTCTAAACTTCTTAGACTATCTCAGAATATTTCTCCTCTTGATGGTATTTTTGCCCTGATATTGAAAGCCACGCACTCTAACTAAAGAAGGTAATAAGTGTGGTGAAAAGAATTCAAAATTTGGAAAAGAGAATCTAGATAAGAGTTTTTGTTCTGCCATTTGCTGGCTTGGAGATAGTCACTAAATTTTTCAAAGCCTGGCTTATCATTTGTAGATAGAGATAATAATACTTATATATGGTCTATGTAACCATTCTGTTTCTTTGTATAGAATCAAAAATAAAATCTAGCTTTAATACACCTCTTTAAAAGAAAAAACAAAGAATTCTCCACATTCCCATCCTCTGCCTACGTAACACATATTAGACATATTTAGTTTTTAGTTTTATTGAAACTTATTCATGTAAAAAATGACTAAAAGCCACAAATTAGGCAGGTATGATTTAAATCTTTGGTCAGAAAGACTTTATTTTAAATAAAGGGCATTATTATTTTTATAAATGTTATATATAATCTTCATAATTTAGGACTATAGGCAATTTATTTGTCTTTTAACATGTAAGAATTATTTGTGTATAAAATAGCTTAGAAATACCTAAGGGGATTGCTTGGTACTGGCTGAAAATAAATGTAGTCTCATGGCGAGCTTAGATAAATTCACACTTAGTGAATTAAGGCTTGTCTGGGCTCCACTTCAAAGAGGTGTGATCAACTTGCTATTAAAGTGTTGGGTCAAAATAAAGAGTGGGTTGCATCATTTACTGTATTCATTTTTGGCACTATTGAATGAACATAATTTTCTTTTTTATAATTATGCAGAATTACATGAAATAACTAGTTATCTTTTTCATTATGCTTGAACATTATTGGTTTGACCAGAGAGATCTTACATAAATATCTGTACATTCTATGACCCTAAGGGAAGGGACCAAAATACACAATCTGTATTGGTTCCTGAAAAGGTTACTGCAGAAGTAGATAAATCTAAGACTTCCAACCAAAGGCCATAAAAAACATGGATTGTGAATACTTAAATGTATTTAATATGTATTTCTTTGCTTTTCTTGATATGCTTCAATTAAGACTGCCCGTTTCCAAGGTGGAAGAATCTATCAGAAGATATGCAGCTGCTCAGAAATCCTTACTGAACAGTGATGACTACAAATTTGATGAGCGATATGTAAGAAAAAATTGATTTTAGTTTAAAACATAGATTTATAACAAAATTTTCAAAGGCTGAAATAAGATCTGCTTTTCAGAATATGTTATATCATATAAAATTCTATATATATATAGAATTCATAATATATATGTTATATATAATTCAGAATATGTTATATATAATTCTTTCAATTGTTATAAAGAATATAGTTGTGAAACATTCACCTTAAATCTGAGCAAGTTACTGGTGAAAGCGATGGCTTTTCTTGGTTCATAGAAAATAGCAATAAGTAGTATGATTCTGTTCCACTGTATGCAAGCTCCAACAGAGTAAGGCTTTTTGTCTGTTTTGTTCTCCCAGTGCTGAACAGTGGTAGCACATAGTATGTGTTCAGTAAATAGTGAATGAGTGAAAGAACTCCCCTTATTGTTATTACTGGAATAGCTCTTGATGATAATTTTTTCATAAAAGTTGTTACAGCAATTTGCTCATCCGGTTATTTCATTTTATTTTTTATTAAATATGGAGAAATCATATTTATAAATTGTTGTAAGATATAAATTACAGTACATTGATATTTGTACACATGATTAAGTTTTAGAAAAAGTATATTACCATTACCTTTGTAATTGTCATGTGCCCTTGGTCCAATCCTATATCTTCGCGTCCCACCCTATTCTGAATTTTATGTTTATTGTTCCCTTTCTTTTTCTTTATAGTTTTACCACAGTTATGTGTGCTCCTAATATATTACTGAGTTTTGATTATTTTCAAACTTTACATAAATGAAATCTTACTGTGTTTTTTTCTGTATCTTTTCCTCATTCAAAATTATTATGTTCCTAAGATTTATTTGTGATGTTGCATGTAGCTATAATTTATTCACTTTTACTGCTGTATAGTAACTATTATGGATATATTATATAATTTATTTATTAATTCTGTAGTTAATAGATGTTGGAGTTGCTTACACTTTCTTGATTCTACAATTAGTGCAGCAGTGAACATTCTAGTTCATGTTTCTGGTGTTAGTGGGGATATTGCCAGAACTGGAATTGGTGGTCACAGCTATGCATGTCTTCAGTTGTACTTAATAATACTGTTTTTCAAAGTAGGCATGCCAATTTACATTCTTATTACCACTATATGAGAATTTCTGAGCCCCACATCCTTGCTAGCACTTGATACAATACGAAAGAAATGAGAAATGCAAGGAAAACTTGACAAGAATAGAATTTATGGAGGATTTTTTTTTTTTTAGATTTTTTATTTATTTATTTGAGACAGAGAGAATGAGAGAGAGAGCACATGAGAGCGGGGAGGGTCAGAGGCAGAAGCAGGCTCCCCGCCGAGCAGGGAGCCCGATGCGGGACTCGATCCAGGGACTCCAGGATCATGACCTGAGCCGAAGGCAGTCGCTTAACCAACTGAGCCACCCAGGCGCCCTATGGAGGATTTTAACACTTGTTTTTTTAGTAATATGTCTAATAGGCAAAAATTAATAGGCTGTATAAGAATTGAATAATAGCGCCTGGGTGGCTCAGTCATTAAGCGTCTGCCTTCGGCTCAGGTCATGATCCTGGGGTCCTGGGATCAAACCCCACATCGGGCTCCCTGCTCCGCAGGAAGCCTGCTTCTCCCTCTCCCACTCCCCCTGTTTGTGTTCCCTCTTTTGCTGTGTCTCTCTCTGTCAAAAAGATAAATAAAATCTTAAAAAAAAAAGAATTGAATAATATAATCAATAAACTCAGGTTTTTTGGTAATGTAAATGCATTTTTACATTTTTTGATTAAAGACTATATGTTTCTTTTTTATGATTTAGGACATTTATAAAAATTTGTCATATAATTGGTCACAAAAGAAGCCTTAAAATCAGGAAAGTAGAGATTTTATAGACCATATTCTTTTTTATATTTCATATAATTCATAGTCACAGATTTTAGTACTAACCTGTTAAGAACACAAAGCAATGGACAAATCTCACTTAGGAATATATTTGCAAAAATTGTAAATGAAATATTAGCAAATGACTCTAGCAAAATATCAAAGAAATAATATGCTATGAACAAGCACACATTCTTTTCCAGGAATGCAAAGATGATTCCAATATCAGGAAAGCTAATACAGAATTTTTTTTAAAAGATTTTTTATTTATTTTTTGACAGAGAAAGACACAGTGAGAGAGGGAACACAAGCAGGGGGAGTGGGAGAGGGAGAACAAGCTTCCCGCGGAGGAGGGGGCCCGATGTGGGGCTCCATCCCAGGATCCTGGGATCATGACCTGAGCCGAAGGCAGACACTTAACGACTGAGCCACCCAGGTGCCCCAATACAGAATTTCTTATATCAACACATTGAGGGGGGAAAAGTGATCATCTCCATAGATTATGAAATGGAAGTTGATAAAATTCAACAACCATTCCCAAACTGGAATTGGCAGAGAAATATGATAAAGATTATTTAGAATAACACTTGCTGTTGGTTTTTTGGTAAGCAGTAAAATATTAAAGGTGTTTTAATTGAAATCAGGAACAAGATAGGTGTCCCTTCCATAGTCATTGTTACTCAGCATTATTTTTGCAAGTCCTAGTGAATGCAGTTAAATAAGATAATAAAATAATTGGTATGGACAT